CATTATTATTGCAGATTACAGAAGCAAGTCGGGAGGCAAGGACCCAGTGCCTGCAAGTGAATATTTCCTGCAGTGAGAGTTGCAGCCTCTCCCCATTCCCAGCTGTCTGTGGAGCAAACAGGGTAGACTGGTAATTGTAGGCCATTAAACCCTATAGCCCTGGAAGGGACACAGTGCTATATGTCAGAAATAGGTAAACTAATTAAGTTATAGATTATTTGATGATGCTCAATGAGAGAAAATTAAAACAGTGTGATAGTTAAAGCTGTGTCATCCTGCAGACATTCATGGCAACTTCTGCAAATTAATCTGAACTGTAAAAGTCCTCTAAGGAGACGATGTCCTCCGTAAACAGGAAGGGCACTGCAGCCCTCGCTGCTCAGTTTTTCTGTGTGGATGGTAGCTGAGCCTCCACTGTGCCCTTTCTGAGTGAACAGAGGCTACGGAGCACCCTCAGAAAGTGGTGACCGGATGGGAGTGGGAGGGTCGTTTCGAAGTAACCTTGCAAGGCGAAGAGGGTAGTCGATGAGGCCCCGAGTCTAACACCAGTAAGAAGCCTAAATATGTAAATACATGTGTTGGAAGCTGGCTAGTCAGGGGCATGCCTCAGTTTAGCCTGTTGTGTTTGGTTTTGGTTTTGGGGAATTTGTGTGGAGAGGCCCACACTTCTTTCCTCTTTCCAGTTGGAGATTGCATGGTACACAAGGGCTGCACAATTTGCCTGTGGGTGTTGACTCACCTCAGTTGAGTCCCCAGTACAACTTAGTTACCTGGCCTTCCTGGAAGCCAGTAAGGAGAAAGTAGGGTGCTGGGCAGAGCCCTAGCAGCAGGGGAGCCAAGTCCAGGTGCACCTCAGTGCTGAGGTTTACAGGGTGCTGTTCTCCCCGCACATCCTTGCTGTCCTGATGCCCGCACAGTGCTGTGCATACAGTAAACACCCAGTAAACAGTTGTAAACAAAGGGAGTGCTTTGTGATAAACTCACTTTACTATTCAAAGGAGTGCACACGGCGTGCATGGAATACAAGCGCCTGCAGCCGTCAGTGAAGTCCCCGCCCCACCCACCCATAGCCCCATGTCCAAGCTAGCACTGAGTGGCTGTGCGGTGTGGCTGGCCGAGCCACGCAGCAGAGCAGCCTTGGGATTGCCACCAGGAGGATGCGCCTGCTGCTACTGCTCACAGCTGCTCTTGTGGTTAATGTTCCTTATCCTCTGCTTCCGCCTCTGCCTCTGCCACCACCTCCTCATCTTCGTCTAGAGCCACTTTGGCGTCTTGAAACTGCTGGTACTCAGACACCAGGTCATGGATGTTGCTCTCAGCTTCGGCAAACTCATTGATGTCCATCCCCTCGCCAGTGTACCAGTGCACGAAAGCCTTCCTCCTGAACATGGCTGAGAAGTGCTCCGACACCCTGGTGAGGAGCTCCTGGATGGCCGTGCTGTTGCCGATGAATGTGGCAGCCATGCTCAGCCCCGGGGGCGGGATGTCACAGACAGCCACCTTGACGTTGTTGGGGATCCACTCCACAAAGCAGCTGCTGCTCCTGGTCTGCACGGTGAGCATCTGCTCGTCCACTTCCTTGGTGGACATCTTCCCCCGGAAGATGCAGGCCACCGTCAGGTAGCGGCCCCGCCGGGGGTCGCAGGCAGCCATGGTGTTGCGGGCATCAAACATCTGTTGGGTGAGCTCGGCCACCGAGAGCGCCCGGTACTGGTGGCTACCCTGGGCGGTGAGGGGGGCGAAGCCAGGGATGAAGAAGTGGAGGCGGGGGAAGGGCACCATGTTCACAGCCAGCTTTCGCAGATCGGCGTTGAGCTGGCCCGGGAACCGGAGGGAGGTGGTGATGCCACTCATGGTCAAGGACACCAGGTGGTTGAGGTCGCCATAGGTGGGTGTGGTCAGCTTCAGGGTGCGGAAGCAGATGTCATAGAGGGCCTCGTTGTCGATGCAAAAGCAGGCGTCAGCATTCTCGATCAGCTGGTGGATGGACAGCACGGCGTTGTAGGGCTCCACCACTGTGTCTGACACTTTGGGCGAGGGCATGACGCTGAAGGAGTTGAGGATGCGGTCGGGGTACTCCTCTCGGATCTTGTTCATAAGCAGTGTTCCCATGCCCGAGCCCGTGCCCCCGCCCAGCGAGTGCACGATCTGGAAGCCCTGCAGGCAGTCGCAGGCCTCGCTCTCGCCCCGCACGACATCCAGGACGCTGTCGAGCAGTTCCGCTCCCTCTGTGTAGTGGCCCTTGGCCCAGTTGTTGCCTGCCCCAGAGTTACCTGTGGCAGAGGAATCGTGATTACCTACCCAGAGTCAAGGGAAGCGGGGTGGAGAGAGGAGGACACCACTAGCAGGCATCCTCTCCTCCCGATGGAACTGTCCAGAAAAACCTACCGTGGATAAAACTGTCTGGTTGAAAGAGAGTTCCCAGTTTGCTGGATCGAATGCTGTCCATCGTCCCAGGTTCCAGGTCCACCAAGACAGCTCGGGGCACATATTTCTTACCTGTGCAGAAAAATAGGAAGAAGTCAGCAAACTGTTGTTTTTCTAAATGTTAATGATTCATCAAAACAGAACCTTGTGATACTGCCCCTCCCCCCAACAAAGGTGTCTGTGATAGAGATTTGCAATCACATCCTGACCCCAACAAAAGTTGCACAAATCTATAAAATACCTTAAAAATTCTTCCATTATTGTTTTGTTGTGTTGTGTTGCCAATGACAGAGAGTCTGTTCCTAGTGGAAATGCTGCTGGTTTTTATTCAAAAACCAAAAAGGAAGGTTGGTGCTAAAACTGGGTGTTAAGACGTGTGACCTTATTTAGCGTCTTCTTTGAACAAGGCTTGGGAACCCATCGCTTGATATCCTGCTGCTCTGCCCAGACATCACTCATGGGACATCTCACGGTCCCCCCTCTGACCACTGACTGCTCCCAGAGCGCAGCATCCTACCGTGGGCCTCATTGTAATACACGCTGATCCTCTCCAGCTGCAGGGCGCAGTCCCCGCCGTAGCTCCCAACCGAGTCAATGCCATGCTCCTCACCAATCACCTCCCAGAACTGAAAGCAGAGAAGGAGTGGTCAGTGTGCAGAGGGAGCCGGAAAAGGCCAGGCTGGCTCCCTCGAGTCAGCAGCTTGAGCAGGAAGACAGGAGGCCTGGGCCCACTCGCCTGGGCCTCCCTGACCATACCTTCCCAGACGTGCTCTTCGTCCTCATAAATTTCCTCTCCGCAGCGTTATTCACTTCGTGCCTCTACCACACGTACATCTGAAGACTGACTCCTATACGCACCCGAACTCCCCAAATGAACTGTCAGCACAAGTTATTAAACTGGATTTTGCTCTTACTGAATTCAGGCCATTGTGCACATTAAAGCTGTTTTAGAATTTCACATCAGACAGTGTAGCTCTGATTTCACCCGGCAGTGCTACAAACTTGTAACGTATAGACTCTGGAATGCAAACGGACTGAACTCTTGGCTGATTTTACAGGAACATCTCATTTCACTTTGGAGATTTATTTTCATGCAGCATACCCAACAGAACAGAACTGGGACATCTGCACGATTCAAGCGATGCGTATTTTTGATGATCAGGTGTGCACACAATTCAACATCAAACAGAGTTTATTGTGACTATTTGAAACATATTACACTTTTAGTCACATACACAGTTTTTATTAACGTAGATACCTGCCAAGTTCTCAGTAGGGAAACAGTTACCGAGACGGCTTCTTTTCATTGCCTTGGAGAGGCCCATGGTCCAGGGCAATGAAAATATATTCATTTATGCTAAAGTTCCCAAGGGGTTTTTCCCAGCCATGTCTTGTAAATGACAGCTCTGCTCCGGCTGTGGTCTGTCTTCTAGTGAATGACCAGCACTGTTCAGGGCGTGGAAGAATGAATCAAGCTAAGTTCTGTGGCACCGCAAAGTCAACGTAACTTCAAGTTCTTATGGCCCCAAATAATTCGTAGATGCTGGGGTTCTAACCACTAGACAACACAGTTCTGGAGTAAGAGCGAAGACTCTGTCTGGACCTGCACTCCCTGGCAGGCCTTCGTTCACATTGTCTCCCAGCGTCAGGGCAGTGGGCTCGGGCCTCCCCTTCTCCACGGGCTGCCACTTGGCAGTCATCACCGGTGTGGACGGCAGTGCTTCTCTCCAGGCAGTAACTGCCTTTGCCCTGGGTTTTAAACTCCTGCGTCAAAGACTGGTCTTAGCACAGCAGCGTCATTCACAGCAGCCCAAAGTGGGAAACAACCCAACGTCCATGGGTGGATGAGTGGGTAACAATCGATGTTTCTCTCTCTCAAATCAATAAAAACGTTCTCGGAGGGAGGGAAGGAAGGAAGAAGGAAGGAAATTCTGACACCTGCTACAGCATGGATGAACCTGAGGACATCATGCTCAGTAACAAGCCAGTCACAAAAGGACAAATTCTGTATGATTCCACTTACGAGGGACCTAGAAAAGTCAAATTGATACGAGACAGAGCAGAATGGTGGGGCCTAGCACCAGGGAGAGGACTGTGGAGTTACTTTTTAGTGGGGACAGTTTCAGTTTTGCAAGATACACTTTAAAATGGTTAGGATGGTAAATTTTAGGCTGTGTGTTTTACCACAACTTTTTAAAATTTAAAGACAGTTTTAATACAATTGATACTTGTAAAAGTCATTTTAAAGCAGCAATGAGAACAATCAGATACTGTTTGGTCATCTTAAGATTAGGGTTGGGGTTTTCTTAGCATTAGCCAACTGAGCCAGGTCCTGCACAGAAAACTTAAGGGGGGAGGAGAAAAACTCACATATCCCAGAGGGTGTATTTTAATTCTTTTTGCTACTGGGCACAAGACTTGTAGGTTTACCTCTTTCCTTTTCTGTTGCATATTAAATAGAACAGTAGTTGATCTTTTCTAACTTTATAACATAAATATGGGAGAGGGGGAAAGATAGTTTAGTGAAATTGTGTCAAGTTTCCCAGCAAACTAGAAAACTGGAGACAAATTACTGTTTTTAGATATGAAAAGTTCATTGCTTAAAGGTGATAGGAGTAAAAATGCTTGACATGTATAATACGCAAAACCCAACAAAATTAATGTGAATTAAATTAACCCTTTACAACTTTACTATTTCCTTTGTCTCTAATTAAAGGCATTGTTTAATAATCAGACACCCAGCAAGTGTATGCAGTCTGCTTGGCTGCACCTGTGGACGGTGGTGGAGCTAGTCCTAGAAATGGAAGGCTCCTTACCTTGGCTCCGATCTGGTTACCACACTGGCCAATCTGAATGTGCACAATTTCACGCATCCTTGCCTTCTGCCCAAGGGTAAGATCTTCACAGAATCCTCAGACTCCACGAGAGCCGCCCTTCACCAGTGTCAGCCCAACACGACTCTGGTCATCACAGTGATGCGACCAGCTGACCCGGCTACCCTTCCAGTGTAACCCAAGGGTGTGTCCAGCCCAGAGGCCCACCCCCACCCTTCTGTGCTCTCCGCCTATCATCCTAGTGAAGAGGGTGTTCTTTTCCTCTCCCAGCGCAGAATACTGCCTGGTCATTTCCTAGAGATCAAGACCAAAGGCTGCCTTCGTGCACGGTGCCCAGAGGCCCAGCACCAGGTGTGGGCCTGTGTGATGGACCCTGGGCACTGGTTGGTGAGGCACATGGTGCGGCAGCTCAGCCTGGCCCTCAGCACCCTTCCTGGCCCTGCATTCTGTCATCCCCTTTGCTCTTGTCCTGCTGTCCGGGGCCTTATTGCTTGCCGTTGGTTTCCTTGAGCAGACCTTGATTTCTCCAAAAGGCAGATGGACTCCCAACCACATTTCACTGAGGCCCAGCCGAGGGGGCACAGAGGGTGAACCCCACTCTTCCAGGTCCTCAGCATGCTTCCCTGAGCTCCCAGCAAACAACTTGAAAAACCAGTCCCAGTCCCCACACCTCATACCCGCAGCCAGCCCTGCCCAGCAGCATAGAGCACCAGGGATGCAGACAGGGCCACGTCTCAGTCCTGAAGCCCCTGGCACATGGGCAAGGGTCCCCGGCAAGCACCTGCTTCCTGAGGGCTCTCTCCAGCATGTGCCAGGAACCCCAAGGCAGGCCCCCATTCACTGAACAGCTACCAACAGGGACCTCCACGTGCTGGGCACACGTTGGAAGCTGGGAGTTCAGGAATGGAAGGGACAGGTCTGGGCACCCCTGAGCTCACGGAGCTTCTGAGTAGGTGACTCATGTAGGAAAACACATTCATCCAGGGCATGGATTCAAACCTGGACTCAGACCCAGAGTCCCTGGTCCCTATCCTCCCTGCCTCTGGGTGATGTCGCTGAGGGTTCAGCCCTGCCTCCCAAGCCGGGTCCTGACCCTTGACTCCTGAACCCTGTGCACTTTCTGTAGGCCTCGGGAGGCCCAAGACGTGAAGTCAGTGGTACAGGAAAGTTACTAACAACAGACTTGGGGGAGGGGGTGGGTAGCCTCTCCCCACTCCCAAAGGCATTCATCTACAGAATGAAAGGACCCAAGCTGTGCACTGAAGAGAAACCCAGAGGTGGGGAAGGACTTTGTCCCCCCCTGGGGCCAGCGCCAGAGCTCTCTTGTCTGCCACTGTCCAGAAGAGGACCGTGTGACGCTGGTTCGGGCCCTGGACCAGGAGAAAAGTTGCTGTGAAGGGTGCTACTAGGACAGTTATGGACATTTGAATACACTGCAGTACATTACACTATAACATTGTATCCACGTTAGAGTTTCTACATGTGATCAGGGCCTGGGGCTTATGCAAATAGAAATCCTTTTTTTCAGGAGATACTATGATGCATTCAGGGTCAAGAGTCACCGGGCTGTGAATTAGTAACAAACATTTAGGCAACACAGTAACGATGTGATACATGAGGAGAAAGGTGAGACAATGTTAACTATAGAAAGTCTCCCCAAACTGTAGAATTAGCACTCTTGTAACACTTCTCCAGTTTGGAATTTCCTTCTACTCAAATCACAGATGCTGTGGTTCAAACTCTGCCACCCCCAAAGGTAAAGAGAAGAAAGTGTGAGTTCAAGACAAAGGAATTTGCAGGTGCCTAGCAGTACTTTCCACAAATTAAAAAAAGAGCTCCTAGATGTCACCCTATCCCCCCTCCCTCGGTGCCCTCTGCCCTCATCCCCTTCCTGCCCTCCCCACCTTCCCCCTGCTCCTCCGACTCCTCCAGAGCCCCAGGACAGCCCAACTGCTGCCCCCCTGGAGCACCGTGACTTCCCGCAGCCCCTGGGTCACAGACACCCCGCCTGGCCGCCCCAGCACTTTCCTCCACCCTGTTTGCTAATCACTTAGAGGCATGCCTTATCTCCCCCAGCCTGGAACTGCCACTGTCTTTCCACCTTTGAGTCCCCCACCTGCCCCTTGGGTAACGGCCTCAGCAAATGTTTGCGGAGTGCACACAGACAGCTGGGCAAGTTTGAGCAGCCACACTCAGAACGGCAAGTTGTCATAAAGGTGATAATGTATTTACTCAGTATGTCCTCACGTGGGGCAGGGCCGATGCCGGAGGACTTTTTCCTCTGTCCCCTAAGAGGTGGTCTGGGCTGAAAGTATAAACTGTTCCAAGAAACCTGGGTGTCAGGAGTGGCTTGTCGGTGGGGTAACCGCGTGCGCTATTAGGGGGAGCGGTGGCTGCTGGGGCTGCTCCTAGGGCCTGTGGGCCCAGACCACAGCCGGCGGAGGGGCACTCCTGACCTCCCTGTGTTCATTCTTTGCCCTGTGAGCAGAAGCCACTGTGTTGGGTCCCCCACCACCTCCTCCCTGGAGCACATTCCTCTTGGCCATCTCAGTTTGCTCAGGGAGGGGAAGGCCAGGTTTCTAGATGAGCGCTTAAAAGGTTTTTCTGTTAATGGGGCAGTTGGCTAAAAGGGGAAAGAAGAGGAGCCCTGTTTGCTTTGAGTCCCAGCCCCGCTGGCAGTGTTTACTCAGTCCCAGTGCTACGCTGAGCTTTGGACCGCTGAGCTTTGGACGCTGCTGGGGGCAAAGGCAGATGCTGGGCAGGGCGCCCACAGTCCCCAGTGCTGAAGCTCAGCCACTCCTGGGGCCCACCTCCTCTCTGAACCTGAGTTTTCGCAGCGGCAACGCGGAATAGTGGCCCCAGGCTCACTGTGGGGACTGACTTTGCAGGCGGTGTTTTCCAAGTCTGCTGCGTAGGATGGTAGAGGCTGTGGCTCACTGTACAGATGGCGCCATTTGTTTCTAGGTAGTGCGCACCCCTGTGTGCCAGGCTGAGCTAGTCGTGGGCGCAGAGGGCTGGCTCTCTGAGTTTAAAAATGTCTGGGCAAAACAGAAGAGTAGGAAGGCCCAGGTCGGAAAGCGTCCACTCCGTCTGCATTCCTTTACCTTCTGGTGAAGGTAGCTGTGTCCCTGAGGAAGGACCTCTACTTTGAGGGCCAATTAAGTGAAAGCCATGGCAGTGGAATCCTTAGTGTCTTTCTCAGACCAGCAGTAGCGGCTCCTTCCTGGGACACAGGTGAACAATAGATGTCTCATGAGTGGCCAGCGTTACCCGAGCTCTGATCTCCTGCCAGGATGGAGGTGACACCAGCCCTGAACTGCAGCAAGGGATTGAGAGTGGGCATCTGTGATGAAGGACAGTCCTTTTGTCCCCTGGAAAAGGGCTGTGGCAAAGGCAGGTTAGTAGGACTGTGCTGGAGCTCAGGGCTTCTGCGAGCATCACCCCCGAGGGCAGAGGGCAGAGGGCAGAGGGCAGAGGGAAGGAGCAACAACATCCCTGAGCACGCACGGTAGGTAACACTACCGCTCCACAAGAATGCCACTGTCTGAAGACACCGAGATGACCCAGTGCGACCAGCGGGCCCTTAGTGGACACACCCCCCCTCCAGTACACTGTCCAGTCCACGAGGAGACTCGGGGCAGCAGCCTTTTCCTACGTGTCACTGGGTCTATTATGGGAACAGAACTAAGATGATAAGAAACCAAGTGTCACCCCAAAACCTCACATCGGCTGCTTGCAGGCTTCCTCCAGGAGCTGAACCCCAGGGGTCAGATGGAGGCCCCCTCTTGTGACAAATGAAATATAATTAGGAAAAACACAGCACTCAGAACTCATTGATTTCATCCGCCTGATCTCCCTCTGCTGAGTACACTGAAGTTCCCTGAATAACTCAGAGGAGATTGTTGAATTACAGTGTTTGCTTGTGATTCAGAAGCAGAAATTTTTCCAAACATCTTACCAAGAAAATGACATCTGAGGGGCCATTAGGAGTGACTCAGCGGGTGTGGGCAGCTCATCAGCTGAGCGAGCTCCTTTCCTGTCCCTGCCTCGACGTGTGTGCTCTAACTGTAAAGGAAAGTTCTGGGAGGAAGACCAAGCAATTGGGGGAGAGGGGACTCGCAGAACATGGCTGTTTCCCACAAGCCAGGCTTCCCGGAGGAGCCTCGGACCCTGTCCCCCAGCCGGCATGCCCCATCTCTTTGGGCACATCAAGAATCGGAGCTGGGCTGTGCCATCTCCAATGTCCAGGAGGAAACGCATGCACATGCGCACACATGCATGAACACATGTACAGGCGCCCATGCATGCACGCACACGCACTTCCCGAGCCGCTGTGATTCCGCGGGGACACGGGAACCTTCCCGGCAGCGCCGCCCCCCCCATGGTGGACAGATCCTGAGAAGCCACGGGCCGGGCGGGAGCAGCGATGGGCAGAGTGCGGTTGGCACCTGGAGCTGACACCAAACAGAAACAGAAACTTCTGCAAGCCCGGTGCTCGTCCAAGGAATCTCTGTTGTGTGCGTCCCAGAAAGCCATTTGTTTATCCAACAAATATTGGCCAGATGCTCTCAGGGGCTCTCAGGACCTCAGGGGAGTAGGAATACGGGCCGGCTCTCCAGCGGCAGAGACGTGCAGCCCTGGTCCCCTTTCCCGGCCTTTACCGAGTTCCCCGCACCTCGCTTAGGGACCTGGGGCTTGGAGGGCAGCCCAGCCCGCTCAAGTCCCAGGATGACGGCAAAGCAGAGACAAGTCAGGTTGCAGGTCTTCGGGCCCCTTCATCTAGGGGTTCCATGCAAGGTGTCGAGGGGTCGGCCCACCGGGCTCCAGCTCAGCATCCGAGGAGCCCGGCTGCTCAGCCCTGCCCCACGCCTGGGTCCTGCCAGCCCCGCCTCCCAGACAGGCTGCCCCGTGTGTCCGCTGTCGCCATCTCTCCAGGGGCGTCACCACTCACCGTGCCCCACGACCACAGCAGCCTCACCGACCTCATGCTCCCCTCTGTCATTTCACCCTCCCCGTGGCCACCAGAGGGATCTAAAGCAGAAATCAGGCCTCACCCGCGCCCTTCAGGAACTAGCTGCCACCAGGGTAACCCCCCCTTACCGCACCGACGTGTGGGGTTCAGGTCCTGGGCAGGAGATGCCAGGGAGGGCCCGGGAGGGAGCGCACGGAGCCTGCACCTCCAGTCCGCCCCAGCCTGCGGAAGCATGGGCTCGGATGGCAGACAGGACACAGCAGCTGTGCCCCCGGCAGAGGTCCGAGGGTGTTTAGGGCCCCTGCGAGCTCTCCGTGCCCTTGTCCCGCCTGTTTGCCAGCCGTCCCTGCTGCCTTGCGGCCCCCGGCTTCTTCCAGGTGGCCGCTCCCACTAAGCATGTCTGAGTGTCAAGGACTTCGCATGGTCTCTTCCTTCTGCCTGCGAAGTCCAGCACTTCCCGTGGCCGTGCCCTCATTCAGTCTCAACTCCCTGGAGAGCTAAGGCAACTGCCCAGAGCAAACTCCCCAGAGGCCGTGTCTCCAGCTCTCCCCGTTTTATTCATTTCCAAGCACTTTCTCCTCTGGGCGCGGTTTCCTTTCTCCGCATGCCCCTTCCAGAGTGCAAGCTCCTCATAGGCAGGGGCCTGCCCCCGCTTGTCCCGGGGCTGCCACAGCAGCTCGTCAGTACCAGGTGCTCAGCAAACACCTCGACTGCCTGACCAGAGAGCCACCAGGTCTGTCCCGGTGAATGGGCGAGGCCCGCGGCTAAGTTCATGGGCAGCTCCCGGGTGGACTCCACGTTAAGGCTGCGCTGTGGCCAACGTGTTCTGAAGGTGATGCCGACGGCCAGCCTCATGGGTGGGTTCCCGGGGAGGCATGTTCCCTCCCCAGCAAATGTGTGCGGCCGGAAGAGGGTGTGATGAGGATGGCCTTTGGGGGTAGCGGCAGGACTGATCTTGCACCTGACCCACCCAATCAGAAGGCCTCCGCTGCAAAGGGACCTGGGATTCGGGCTGAGCATCAGACCTCAGGGCCATGGGGACGGAGAGGATCCCTGCGGCCGACAGGAAGGCCGAGGGGCCCTGAGGAGCCAGACTTGCCTGGCCGGTCAGCATCCCTCCCGACAAACCCGGTGTCTAGGATGTGGCCACACTCAGGAATGCGGAATAATGGAAGTGTCTGCAGCTTGTGGGTGGCAGCCAGAGGGCACAGCCTGAAGGAAGGGGGGATGAAGGTTCTGAGGCAATTCCAGAGGCAGAAACTCAACCTGTCTGCGCCCCCCTGCAGGTGGGGAGAGTGGGCCAGCCCTGGGCCTACGATCAAGTATGTGTGTTCTTTATAGGGACCAGGAGGAAATCAACCTTGTTTTTAGAAATCATAGGTTTTTGTGTTTGGCCCTGGATCACATGTGTGTCAGGAGACTTTATGGGGTAAAAAACCAAAAAAAACAAGGGGAACTAGATCCCAACTTGCCACCCACGAGCCTCATGCTAACTACACGTCTCCTGACCTCTTCGGAGCCTCAGTCTTGCCACCTATAAAATGCGGAGATAGCATCTGACCCTACCTCATAGGGTTGTGCCAACATCTAAAGAGGAGAGATGCTTCCCAGTCTGGTGACTATTCTAGAAAGTCAGTGTCTCTGCCTATAAGCACCACTGGGAGTGGGTATTACTCAGTTACACCCTGGAGGAAAGAGCCAGGGCACCAGGTTGGCCTCCAGAGGAAGGGTTCTATAGTGGTTTCAGGGGGACTCCAAGCCTCAAGCACCGACGAGATTCAAGGCTCGCCCCAGATGGGTAGGAGGGAGCAGCTAGAGCTGGCGGGGGCCCTGCCCGAGCCCCTCTGCTGCAGGCTGGAGGAGATGTGTCATTCTCACAAATACCCTCACAGAACCCAATTCCAGGTCTGCAGGGCTGGAGGCTGCTGCTCAGGTGCATTTGCTGTGAGGAGAGACGAGGCGTGGCCACCTGGAGGCCAGTCCAGCAGGTTCTTCAATGCCTCCTCCCCGGCCTGAGCCCCAGGGGCCTTTTATGCTGACCCGCGCTCTTCCCTAACGGTGCACGCGGCCTGTGCTGACCACCGTCTGCAGGTCTAGGCTCGCCTTGGGTCCGTCCAAGGTCGCCCCCTCTCAGAGCGGTCAGCATCCACTGATCACAGGAAGTTCACTCGTGAAGGGCGCTGGGGCCACATGTCTGACGCCCCATGGGGGCTGAAGGGCCTGCCACACCAGACTTCACTCGCATCTGCCTTGCAAGTTGTGGTTTCAAATGTCTGGACACCCAGCCTGCTGCCTGGTTTTCCCATCACTTTCTGAGCCTGACTCGCTTCTGTGTCAGGGAAACCCTGGATGTCCCACCCACCACCAGCCTGAGTATGTCACTGTCCCTCCCTCCGATTAACCTGCACTCCACAGGGCTACCTGACCTTCCCACCCTGCCTGACCGTTGCCCGAGCCCTGGCCCCTGGAGGCCACGCGATCAGGCCGGCCCGCTACGGAATCTGTGGGCTGCAGCCTTACATCAAGCTCCGCCCTCGGAGCCCAGGGCCCTATGTGACTGCAGGTCACCTGCTAATGACAAACTGAGTGGCACTAAGGGTTCCCAGGAGCTGGCTTTCCAAGAAGAGAAAGAGCACATAAAAGGATGGGGCTGTGACTACACCAGCTCTGCGGTGGCTTTTCAGAAACAGGGACTAAAGCTTCTGGGCTGACAAAGCAAAGCCTGGGCTTCACCCGAGACCTGGCTCTGCTCTGCCAGCCACTGCCCAACGGGCGTCCCAGCCCTGCTGAGGTACCGTGGTCACCTCGGTGCTTCCACGGGTGGCCACGGAAATTGCTGGCAGTCCAGGAGGCAGTCATTTTGATTTCTGATTGCCCGCTAGGGGCAGGCCCAGGGAGGGTAGGAGGGCCCGGGGCGGGTGCCCACTTAGAAGGGGAGGGGCAGCTGGCGTCCACCTGAGGTCCCCCAGCCCAGGCCTGTGCAGACCCCACCAGAGGCCACGACCCTTGTCTTACAGGCCGAGGCCGCTCTGCGGCCTGAGCAGCAGGAGGGAGGGATGAGGCCTCAGTTAGGAAATCAAGGCCAGGGGCCCCACTTCTGCTTTTGGTTCCGCCCTTGCCGCTGAGGCGCTGTGTCAGCAGGAAGCCCTTCCCGCATCTTGGGGAGGAAAGCAGAACTAACGGTTTCTGTGCCCAGGGAGCGCTTCCTGGGGGCGCCGCCTCCTCTGCGAGGGGCCACATCCCCCGGCCCGGGTCCTTGCCAGGCGGAGCTCAGGAGACAGGCCAGGGCACAATGCTGCAGGGACAGTGGCTTTCCCCCGGGGCTTTCCAGGGAGCCTGGGCCGCGATGGGAGGTGGGACAGCGGGCACCTCCCCGGGGGGGTCTCAGGGGTCCACGGCCGGCGGGACGCCGAG